TCTGTGTGTGTGTGTGTGTATATATATATATACACAAACACAGAGAGAGACAGAGACAGAGAAAGAGAAGATTGTATTAAGGAAATGGCTCACAATTGTAGTCCCAAGTCCCCGCAGAAAAAAGAGCAAGCTTTTCTTGCATGTCCATTATATTGAGAGCAGTCCACACCCACAAGGAACCATCCTTTCAATTGATTGGCTGCCCATAGCCAATCATCATAGAGTTAGCTATGCCTACTCATAGGCAATTATCATAGGCAACTAATATGACTGTATTAGATCTCATCATGAGGATAACCACATCTCAACACTGAGAAAGCACTGGGAATCCTGGCCTAGTCAAGTTGCCACAAAACCTTAACTATCGTATGTACATATCTTGACTTCCTCATGAACATGTAACTGTGTATTAAGCTGACTTACTATTTTCTCATGGTTAACACCTTGATGATGTTTCATTGTTTTAAGTGTGATAGCTGATTTCTGGGTTCACTTTGGGACTCAGAAATGTCTGGTCTGGAATCTTGTAAAGAGTTTTACTATGGTTAGTTAGTAGTTAGGTGCCGTTCGAATCAGTTCCGACTCACAGTGACCCTGTGCCCAACAAAACGAAACACTGCCTGCTCCTGAACCATCATCACAATCATTATTAAGCTTGGGCCCATTGTAGCTGTCACTGTGCCAGTCCATCTCATGGGGGCGGTCTGCCTCTCTTTTGCTGGCCTTCCACGTTACTAAGCGTGATCTCCTTCTCCAGAGACTGGTGCCTCCTGACAGTATGTCTGAAGTACGAGAGACAAAGTCTCATCATCCTGGTCGAAGCACTCTGGTTGTACTTTTTCCAACACAGATTTGTTTGGTCTTCTAGCAGTCTATGGTACTTTTCATATTCTTCTCCAACAGCGTAACTCAAATGCATCAGTTCTTCATAGTCAGAATTCCTTATTCATTGTCCATACTGCAAATAAACTCATACTTATTAAATCTAGAGACCTTGAAGGTGAAAGTATTGACTTGTATAAAGTGGTGTTGGTAATCATAGCAATAATAATAGCAGTGTCCAAACCTGTGTCTAACTGCAGGAGACATCACCACTAGGACTAGCCCAAAGCTGATTCCCATAGGTCAATGTCAGTCATACCTCCACTCTGCACACTTTTACCAATGCTACCACTTGTTGCCTCACCCATAGCACACTATACTTCTCCTTAGGATCAATAATCTATTGCAGTGTCCACACAGAACTCACACACCATACCTACAGAAAGTCTCTTATTAAGGATCAGAATACAGCTCAGGATCAACCGGCTGCTACTTCTCTCAGGATCAGGAAGCATACATGAGAAGTCTCCCCTCTTTAGTGCAGAACAGCTCTCTCAACTCTTCTTAACCAGGCAGGTCCTCTCTTGGCCCCTCAGGAAGGATTCTCTTGGTCCTGTCATATGATACCACCAGCTATCACTGGGCCCCTTCTTTGCCTGCTGCCTCTGGCTTTGTCATGACACCTCTTTTGGGCTTCTTACTCAGGCCACCCTCTGGCCTTTTCAACATAGATTCTGTCACTTACACTCTACTGGTCCAAATCGGTCATTAACAATTTTTCCATCCACAGAGCAAAAGCTCTCAGAGTGAGGTCATTCAAACACCAGCCATTCATGTCTGCTCTGGTCTGGTCAGGTTTTTCCAAAGATCTCAACTTAACCCTGTCAGGCATCTATAAAATTAAACCGAGAGAAGATTACATCCACCCTTCACTTATCAACAAAGATAGATTCCAAAGACAAGGTTGTTATGCAAAATTAGCATCATCTGAGCATGAGGACAATGTCTGCCGTACCTCCCCACTGGGTACCCCCACTGTGTCTTGGGGCTATGTGTCTAGCAGCTGGCCCCCTTTCCCTGCATGCCTTTCCTACCAGCATGGAGTTCACAGGGTTAGAAGTGTAGCAGTGTCAATTGGATGGATGCCTTTTAACAAACATTTATTCTCTTATAGTTCAGGAGTCTAAAAGTCCACATTCAGAGTGTAAACTCTAAAGGAAGGCTTTCTTTCTCTTTGCCTGCTCTGGACAGAGTTCCTCGTCTCCTTCAGCCTCTACAGGCCTAACATTACTTGCTTCATGAATCTTGGCATCAATCTTCCTGTGGCTCTAGAAGCTTCACAATGCAGAGACCCTAAGCACTCGACTCCCAGCTGTGCTTTTTTGGTGGCAGTAGGTCCTTCTCACTCTGCTGGCTCCACTCTCCTTTTATCTCTTGTAAGATTAAAGATGGTACAGATTACACCCCCAAAGAAACGTCCTTTCAGTTGAGTGGCTGCTCATAGCAGTTCTCATCATGGATGTGATTACGTTATATTAGATCTCATGCTGGAAGATTACTACATCTTAACTGCTTCACTGAGAATCCTGATGCATTTAAACAAACCGCACAGGTACCAAAGGAACATGCCCAGACTCAGCTCATTACCTCATTGCTGCAGCTCTCCCACTTCCATTCATTTGTGCAACCAGGTGGTCACCTCAAGTGGGCATGACAAGCTGTCTATTGCCTGGCTTCCGTTAACTTCCAGACCCTGAGGAGGTTTCTGATGGGTACTGACCTTCAGATTCCAGAGGGCTGTGTACCACATGATCCTCCTTTTACTGTTCATTCACCATGTAGCTCTTTGCTGGGTAGCCTTCCTCATCATCATGGTACTCTGAAACATAAATCTGACTTCACAGGCAGGCCCTTCAGCATAGGCCCCATTTGCTGTTGACTCCTTTTCCCTCTTAGAATATCCTATTACCTGAAGGTTGAGTCGCACGCTGTTTTGGGTTTTTTTCCAACAGAATTAGGTAGGGAAAACATCCCTTCAATCAGACAAATGTATATTCAGGAACTAGTCCAAATCAGACAACCTTTTTAAACATTCCAGCTTCATTTTCTGTTTTCCACCTTCTGACTCTTCCCCATTTGTAGGCATTGGACCTTAGGTTTCTGGCTGGGTTCAGTGAGAAGCCCCTGGTCCCGTATCAATCATCTTGCTTAACCTGCTGAGCTTTTCACCGTACGTCACTCCGGGTTCAGCTTTGCTATCGCTGCTGCAGCGTGGTATCTCTTCCTTTTTAACCATTACATGGAGCTGCAATCAGAACAACTGCCCATGAAAAAATGTTTCTCATCCCATACCCCATTCCCTTTCATGCTTCTGGACTATGTCACCTCTAGGTCTGGGCTGGGCCCTTTTGGGGCTTCTTGTTGTCTTCAGTGTTACTGCCCTTGATCTGTATTACAGCTTCCTTTGGGAGGTTCCTTGCCCACATCACCCTCCTTCCCCTGCTTCCGCTGCTGCTTGCTTTCTTCTACTTCCCTTACTACTTCTGTTTCTTCCTGCTTTTGGAGGCACATTTTTAAATCATGGCCATCCCACCATGGCCGCCAACTGACCAATCCCCCCTCCGTAGGCCACATGCAGTTCATTTGCATAGTTGATACCAATTACTGGGAAGGGTGCAACCCAGGGCCAGGCCCCACCCCCACCCCCCAAAAAAATCAATTTTACAACTTACCCAGGAATTGTAATAAACCCTGTAGTATAGAAAGCTAGGTAGGGCAAAGCTGACTCTTCTGGGTTTAGGGGGGAAAGCTCTCAAGCTGTTTTTCCAAAGAACCAAGGCAAAAGTCCTCACAAAGGGACTCATTTCACCACAGTTGGTGTCAAGTTAACTGTTCATTGTTCTTCATTGTCTACACTGATGATATGCCTTTTCCCATGAAACCATGCCCTGTGCGTGTATTTGTTCTCCTAAAGAATTAAGAAAAAAGATCTGGGTAGAATAGGGATCGAACTCATGTAAGGGTACTGCATCAGGAAGGCAGGAATCCTTTGTAGGCTCAGCCCTTCATAGAGGGCATTAGGGTTCAGTCAGAAAAAGTCTCTTTTGAATTTAGGAGACTGAGGTTCTCATACACCTGAGCTTTTCTCACTTTCTTCAGTCTTTTCACATCTGTTTTGATGGAGAAAGACTTCCTCATTTCCTATTGTAATATGACATATGCATTGTGTCCAATATCCTTTTACTTTGTTGTCCTAATTACCCTGTTTATGTCACTGAGACTTTCAGTCCCTGTGGAAGTATTTCTTAGTAAACGATTTTGTCCACTGCCAAAGCCCTGAAGCAAGTGAAATGTGTCCGTTTTTATTTGCTCACAGTTGCCTTTGTCCTCATAATAATTTTTATCTTTTTGTTTCATATTGTGAATCACAATTTTAATCCTTGGGTCAGTTTCTGGAAACCTTAGTGATATAGAAAATGTATCCAGTGATCATCTACTGGTGCAATTCATGAAGAACAACACCCGTAAGTTAGAAGAAAGCTGCAAATTGCATGGCATTGAAGATCGGCATGAAAACCAGAAGAGACATGTGAAGTGAGTATCATTCACTTAAAAGAGCAGTGTGCTGAGGGAAAGTCTTAAGATGTCATGCTATATGTATTTCACACTATTCTTTATATATATATTGTAAATACATATGTGTGGGAGTGTGTATAAAACCAAAGCCAAATCCCTTGCAATTGAGTAGATTCCAGCAGAGTAGAACTGCCCCATAGGGTGACAAAGGCCATACATCTTTATTGACACAGGCTGACACATCTTTCTTCCATAGAATGGCTCGCGGATTCAAGCCACCAAACTTGGTTAGCAGCCAGTTATTTAAATAACTCTGCCACCAGGGCATATATAAATATATCCATATGTATGTGTGTGTATACATAAGCTAAAATTATATGTTCAGAGAAATTTCACAGTATATTTTCATAACTGTGAGTTGTTAATTATTTGAAACATATTTCATGAAATCTAAAAGCCCCACATTTGAGAAACGCTGACAATAATGTTACCTCTGCTAGATGATTTCACCTGTGAAACACGTAAGACAACTCAGGGCAAATATCATACATGTTCACTATGTTTGATAATGCTGATATGGTAACAAATTTACTTCCAACAGCATGGCGGTGCTTGTTTTTAACAGAGGTCATACGGAAGCAAACCTCTGTGAAAATAATGAAGGCAAACAGTGTGGGGAAACTTTCAGCCGGATTGCAGATCTTACTGTGCTGAAAACTACTCCTGAAGTAAATATTTCTGGATGCCATGAGTCTGGAAAAACCTTCATGGATCATTTGTTAGTTGAACATCATATCAGCTCTCACTCCGGTTGCAATTCTTATCCAAGAAAGGAATGTGGAGAAGCCTGCGGTTGTTCCTCTTACATGAGAACCATTACTGGAGAGAAACCTTATGAATGTGGAGGAAATTTCTGTAGTTTCTCATCTTCTCAGACACATATGAGAAGTCATAAGTGTGAATATAAAGAATGTTGTAAAACCTACACACATCCTTCATCCCTCATGTTACATGAAAATTTTTATATTGGAGACAACCCTTATGAAAGTAAAGAATATGGGGAAGTGCTAACTCATTCCTCATCCCTCACTGAACATATACAGATTCATAGTGGAGAGAAGCCTTTTGAATGTAAGGAATGTGGGAAAGCCTTTCGTTATTTCTCAGATCTCACTAGACATATAAGAACTCACAGTGGAGAGAAGCCTTATGAATGTAAAGAATGTGGAAAAGCCTTTAGTCAGTCCTCGCACCTCACTGACCATATGAGATCTCATAGAGGAGAGAAACCCTATGAATGTAAGGAATGTGAGCAGACCTTTCGTTATTTCTCAAACCTAACTAGACATAGTAAAATTCACAGTGGCGAGAGGCTTTATGAATGTAAAGAATGTGGAAAAACCTTTAGTTGTTCCTCAAACCTCACTACACATATAAGAACTCACAATGGAGAGAGACCTTATGAATGTAAGGAGTGTGGGAAAGCCTTTGGTCGTTCTTCATCCCTCACTAAACATATAAAAACTCACAGTGGAGAGAGGCCTTATGACTGTAAGGTATGTGGCAAAGCCTTTAGTCAGTTGGCGCACCTCACTCTCCATTTAAGAGTTCACACAGGAGAGAAGCCTTATGAATGTACGGAATGTGGAAGAGCGTTTAGTCAGTCCTCTCATCTCACTACACATATAAGAACTCACAGTGGAGAGAGGCCTTATGAATGTAAGGAATGTGGGAAAGCCTTTAGATGCTCATCATCCTTAACTAATCATATAAGAACTCATAGTGGAGAGAGGCCTTATGAATGTAAGGAATGTGGAAAAGCTTTTAGTAAGTTGGCAAATCTCTCTCTCCATTTAAGAGTTCATACTGGAGAGAAGCCTTACGAATGTATGGAATGTGGGAAAGCCTTCAGTCAGTTAGCACATCTCACTGATCACATAAGAACTCACAGTGGAGAGAGGCCTTATGAATGTAAGGAATGTGGGAAAGCCTTCAGTCACTCCTCATCCCTCACTAACCATATAAGAACTCACAGTGGAGAGAGGGCATATGAATGCAAGGAATGTGGGAAAGCATTCAGTCAGTCCTCAACCTTAACTAAACATATAAGAACTCACAGTGGAAGTGGAGCGGTGCCTTATAAGTATAAGAAATGTGGAAATGTCTTTAGTTATTCATCCTCCCTCTGTAGACATAACAACTCGCAGTGGAGAGAGTCCTTCTGAAAGTAAGGAACATGGTGATGTTTTCAGATGCCCCTCATTCTCTGGAGCACATATGCTGGAGTGAATATATGTCTAAGCAATGTTGGATAGCTTTCATCCCTCATCTTTTCCCAAACATGAAAGAATATAGACATGAGAAAATATGTAAGTATAAAGAATGTGGGAAAATTTTTTCTCCCTGTATTTTCAATGACATTTTAATTAACCTATAGGGAAAAGCCTTATATAATTTACCAAAATGAACTCAAGAAATCTTACTGGAGAGACATCACATAAATGTAAGGTCCCTTGGAACATGTACGTACTTTTCCATTCTTGGGCAGCATGGGAGATATTCCACTGTGGATTAATCTTATGAATGTAAGAAAGTGACAGAAACTTTTAGTGGCCCTCTCCCCTCAGAACACCTGACACCTCACACACTGGAGAGACCTGGTGACTTGTAAACATTGTGAGAAAGCCTTCAATCACATCATTACCCTTTGTGTGCACAAAAAATTCTTATCAGGGAAGAACGATTTACAGGTGTGGAATGTCTCGTTACCTTTATCCCTGTGTGCATAGATTTCCACTTTTTTTCCAGATGTAAACATTAAGTGATAAATGCTACCTATGTACCTGTACAATAGTAAGACATGAATTTTGATAAGCTGTCTTTGCAGTTTTGATTCATTTTTTTAAATGAACGTTTCATAAACACAGGGTGTGTTGAAGTGTCTCTTTTTTTTTTTTTATCAACTATGTGGGAAGTGTGGCTCCATGCGATAAGCACTAGACTGCAGACCACATGGGGTGTTGCCTTTCAAGCCCACCAGCCACTCCATGGAAGAAAGATGAGGCTTTCTGCTCTGTGAAGATGTAAAGCCTCAGAAACCCAATGCAGGGTCGCTATGAGTCAGAGCAACATATTAAGATTTAATATTTGAGGTTATAAAGCAGTGTGTTCTCATTGTAGAACATTTTTTAAATGTGTATGATGAAACAAAAATCACTTAGAATCTTAAAAAATGATATTTTCAGCCTACCTAGTATGCAAAACATATAGGGATTTCCTTTCAATCTGTCTTACGTGCAAAGCAATGTTTGTAACAGAATCCGGATTGTACTGTACGTTTAGCGTTGTAATAGAAATGGTTAGCATTGCATCTCATTTATACTCCCAACTACTGTTATGATTCCTGAATTACTGATGAGGAAACAGCATAGAAAATTTAACTCAGTTTCCCACCATCCCACAAAAGTGCCCCTTTCTCGTATGGGGTGTGAGAACCAGGGTTTGTATGGAAGAATGGCTCATTCTGGGGCCCAAGGTGATAGTGGGCCTATATGGCACTCCAGTCTGACTTAGCTTCAGTGGAGTTTCTGTCTCACACAGGACGAGAGTCTCTGCTTAGTGACAGAGGTCTGGTTTGGGTAATTCTGCCTGTCCCAGAATGTAAGCTACAGGAACTGAGACCAGCTAGAATAATGGTTACTGCTGCACCTGATGTGAAAAGATGGGAGTACAAGTAGGATTCATTAATAGTGGAGACAGACAAAGGGTCTTGAAGGTTTATTTAGTGCCACTGTGACCTATGCTGACGTGGGAGCTCCCTCGCTGACTCCTCATGTAAGAGGCCTAGGAAATGGTAGGTCAAAGGTAAGAGACTCCTGCATCTAATCAAACATTTTCTTAAAACAGCAGTTCCCTTTTAGAGTCATCTATGGGAATCCCTGGGCATGACAGTGCCTGTTGATAGTGAAACACTGGGATCGGTGTACACCACGAAGAGAGTGAGCAGAAATGCCTGACCTCACAGCACAATCCTGAGCCGCCACTAGAGAGGTAGTCACAGTGTAATGTGTTAAAAGCTGGGTATTAAACTATACATGATGACATGAATTTGTAAAACAAATTGTTTACATGTTTTAAATGCTGACAAAACAGCCTACTGCAGGCAGACATATGCATCTAGAACATTAATGTTCTCCCTCAAAGGTGAAATTATGAATGATTTATTTTTCTTCTCTAATTTTCAGTTTTTTAGTTATTATTACTTATAAACATTTTTTACTTTATTTTCTAATTAAAATAATAATTGTGGAATGTATAGTATAATATGACTTCACAAATTCATTAAGTACTATAATTATTAACACAGTGAAAGTATAGTACATACAATACTGCTCTTACTTCAAAACTTCTCTTGTGCTGCCGCCTCTAGTCAGACCTCCGCCTGAACATGACTGCCGGCAACTGTCTGTACATGTCATGCACTTATGTAGGTTTTTGATTCTGACTCCTTTCATTTAGTATAATGCACTTGAAAATCATGCATGTTGATGAATGTATCAATAGTTTAATCTTTTTTTATCGATGTATAGTAAATAATAATATGTTCCATACACGTGACACAGATTGTATATTCACCATTTGGAGAACTTTTGGATTTCTAGTTTTTATTAAACTTGATATAAATGCCCACAACTTTTTATTTCAATTTTTTTCTTTCATTTTTCTTTCAAATAATCAATTTTTTTCTTTCAAATTTTTCTTTCAAATACTATATTGTCATGTAGTAATTTTCTCTTTATTTGCTTGCTTTTTTAAAGGACCGGACTTTTTACATTAACAAAACTTGTTATTTATTATGGCTCATAATTACCAGGTGGGGCAGAAGAGAACTGCCCCACAGAGTTACCAAGGCTATAAATCTTGACCACATCTTTTTCCTGCAGAAAACACCTGGTGGATTCAAATCTCACAGTTGAATGCTTAAGTACTGTGCCCCCAGAGCCTCTGTTTTCCCACCTGCAATGAGATTCCAGTTGCTCCTGGAATCTGTTGAGACTGTTTTCTGTAGGACCCTATCACACTCCTCTTTGGCAGAGGATGACATTGGGGTTTGTGGCATATCTGATTAAGCAGGCCCACATGTGCTGATGGGAGAGGGTGGCCTGTGGCAATCTCCATTAGATCACAGGTCCGTGTATATGTGGCTCCAGGCCGTGTCACCATGGCTAGCCTTGTCTGAGCCTAGCACCTACCCAAGTTTTTTCCCCAAAGGAAAACAGTATTTCACCCAAGGTACCAGTTGTGCGACAACAAACCAGTTGTGGGAAGTGGCCAACACCCCTTGTCAGACACCACAATCCTTGGGCTCCTGCCATTTCTCTAAACCTAGTGTGGAAACCGAAAGTGGATGTGCACTTCTGAACTAGACCATTAGCCAGTGAATAGCCAGCTGAGTGATCATTCCCTTCACTACTTCTGAAGCAAATGATCTCTCGGAGGTCAGTCAAGTCCCAGTATTGCCCTGTAGGAGGTGGAGGATGCAAAGGTGATGCTGAGGGACTGGGTGTGGCTGTTTCCTCACCAGTTTGTATTTGTGCTTGGAGATGCTCAGGATTCATGGCCCCTCTAAGAGCAGTTTTTTTTGTGTTTTGTTTTTGTTTTGTTGTTTTTTGCCTACACCTGCCTAGGCCATCCTGAACTCCTAGGCTTGGGTCCCCGAATTCTTGTTATGTAACATCAAGTCAGTTCCAACTCATAACAACCCTGTGTAGGGTTTCTGAGGAGCAGCTGTTGACTACTCTCCCAAAGCCTTCAGAGTAACATTTGTGCCTTTCATGTCAAGGAAACTCTGGCGCCAGGTTGCTCATATTCTTCTTGACCTGGTGATTCTAGTGTGTCCTGGAAACCTTGAATGGAATCTTTCTGTCATTTGGTATTAGTGATTAAAGTTTGATCAATTATATTCAGGTGGGAAGAGAAAACTTCCTAATGGGTAACACATATGTCTTAGTTATCGAGTTATGACAAATGCTGCAAATGGGTGGCTTTCACAGGTATTTTAACTTCCGGCACCTTCATAAAGAAACCACCACAGTACCACAAACAGAGATGAAAGGTGCGTGTGAACAGCTACCCTACACACAAGTCCTGCTGTCATGAAGCAACGTAAAGAAGAGTTCAGTGAGCACAGTTGGCTGGAGGAGAGGGGGTTGTGAAGAATTTAGACCCAGAGAAAAAAGAAAGACCCCCAACTAGAAGGAATGGCATAGTGGCAGCAGCAATGGGCTCAAATACAACAACAATTGTGTGTGAAGATGGTGTAGTTCCAGGTAATGTTTCATTCGCATAGGGTCACCATGCGTTGGTGCCAACTCAATATGAGCCAAAGAACTGGAGTAAATCCCACCCAAATGAGACTATCTCCAAAATAGATTTGACACTAATGACCAAATAGCAGAGGAGTGGTGGGATGATATCAAGGACTTCATACTTGAAGAAAGAAAAAGGGTATCTAAAAGACAGACCAAAATAGATTTCAGAAAACACCTTGATACTTTCTTTGGAGTGCAGAGAAGCTAGGGAAGAAAGGGAGGCAGGGTTGATGACGTTAAAGAGATTAACAGATTTCAAAGGGTGGCTTGGCAAGACAAAGGATTATAATGAAATGTGTGAAGACCTGGAATTAGAAAATCGTAACAGCAAGATCTGCGTTTCTCAAACTGAAGAAAACAACAAAAAATTCAAGCCCCAAGTGGCAATATTGAAGGATTTTATAATAGATATTGAGTGATGCAGTAATTACCAAGGGAGGGGGTAAGGAATACAAAATCACTGTACTAAAAGTCCACCCTTTTTAGGAGGTAGCATATGACCAAGAATCAATGATACCCCGGGGGGCAGGCTTGTAGAGTATACCCTTTGGTGGGTTGATGATGCACGGAGGGGATTATAACCATGTCAAGGAAACGATATACAATAGGATGAATGTAAAACTAATGTTCTCCCATGTAAACTATCACGTCATTCACAATAAAACATTTTTTTAAAAGAATGATACCAAAGGAAGAGGCACTGGCAAAAAGCAAAGCACCAACAGTTACGAGAATGTTGAGATGTTTCAACAAATCAGGGCAATGATTGAAGCACTCACCTATGCCGTGAAACTTTTAAGACAGCTACATAGCCAACCAACTTGAAGAGATCTATCTTTGGACCTATTACAAAG